ACTTCGATGAACGTTTCACGCAGGGTAATGTATTTTTCTCCTCATGGGGCTTGATGAATGATGAGTCTTATAAAACGGTTCGGAGTCAAATTCTCAGCGTTGATCCCTTAACATCTCTTGGCCGGGCTTATGTTATTGTTGCTGGCGATGAAATACAGCTTCGGAGTGCAGACTCGAGGCTCCCTGTTGTTGAAGCAGCAACCGTGGCCGTGAAATCTTTGGCAAATCGGGCCACCGTCCGTGATTCTGGTCGTTAGTCTGGCCGTACCAAACAACCCTGAAGCCACTGTGGCCGTCTGAATCACGCCAAAGAGAGATGCTACGAGTTGATCGGGTATCCCGCTGGATGGCGTCAACCTCGGCAGAAACGCGATCAGCAGCTGCGTTCTCGCGGCAGTCCGCCATCCACTTTTGTTGCTGCAAATGATCCGGTGCCTTCACCACCTGCTCCAGCTCCTTTGGCCTCTCTTTCTGCTGCACAACTGCAGCAACTTTTTCAAATGCTTGGCCAGCAAGTGTCAACGGATGCACCAGTGAAGTCTCCCATGGCCAATCAACTCTCTTTGGCGGGTAAGGAGGCTGATTGGGCATGTGATTCGGGAGCTACCGATCATGCTTCCAATCAGTTGCAATTGATGAAGAATGTTTCTATTCCCCGTAATAATATTTCTGCTCAAATTCCCAATGACGAACAGGATCTCGTCCCGGTGGTTGGCCGCATTAGACTTGATGATTAATTGACTCTTGATACTGTTTTGGGAGTACCTACTTTTCGTTTCAATTTGATCTCTGCATTACACTTGATGATTAATTGACTCTTGATACTGTTTTGGGAGTACCTACTTTTCTTTTCAATTTGATCTCTGTTAGTCATTTGACCCGAGATTTGAATTGATTTTTCACATTTGACCATGATTTATTCTTTATTCAGGATTTAACCTTGAGGAGGTTGATTGGAATGGTTAAGATGTGCGATGTATTGTACTATCTATCTTGAGCCAATGCGGACTGGTGGGATGTGTCGGAGTTTACCTGCAATCAAAGGTCATGCTGCAACTTTGTGGCATCGACGTCTGGGGCACTTACCGATTACCCGATTCCCAGCATTTTTGTTTCTTTTAATAATTCCAGCGCATCTGTTTGTGATGCTTGCTGTTGAGGTAAACAAACTCGTTTACCATTTCCTTTGCATCAAACTAAAACTGTGAACAATTTTGATTTAATACATTGTGATATTTGGGGCCTGTATCTGACTCCGTCTCACTCTGGGCACATTATTTTCTCACACTTGTTGATGATCATAGTGGAACCATTCGGGTTTCTGTTATGCATTCCAAGTCTGAAACAAAGCATTACTTGCTGTTATTTTTTAATTGGGTCTCGACACAATTTAATGCTAAAATCAAAATTTTTTATTCTGATAACGGCCTTGAATTCAATCATATTTCTTTTTTGACCTATTTCTTGGACAATGGCATTGAAAAGCAAACTAGTCGTCCTCATACTCCTCAGTGAAATGGGGTAGTTGAACGTAAGCATTGGTATCATTTAGATGTTGCTAGAGCTTTACGTTTTCAGGAAAATTTTCCGGTTAGGTTTTGGGGTGAGTCTATCCGTACTGCAGCTTATTTGATTAGTTGTATGCCTCTTTCTGTGCTGCAAAATAAAACTCCTTATGAGATTCTGTATGGTCATCTGCCGTCTTATGATCATTTGCGTAGTTTCGGCTGTTTATATTATGCTCAAACCTCATGATAAATTTGCTTCTAGGGGTTATCCTAGCATTTGTGTTGATTATCCTAAAGGTCAAAAAGGTTATCGGGTTTATAATTTGGATCGTAAAATGATTTACATTTCTCGTGATGTGATTTTCTTTGAAAATATTTTTCTTTCCACTACAAGATCCCCAAATTCTCCTTCTGTTGTTTCTCCTCCGGACTCAGTTGATCTTGCTAATTCGGCGGTAGATCCTTTTCCTGCATATCCACCACAAGAGGCTTCCCCAACCACGTCTTTCTCCTCCGCTGCTTCCTCAGTCCAAAGTGATCCCTCTGTCCCTTCAGACCTTCCATCTAAATGTACCCGACAGGTTTCTCAGCGTCTCGCTGGCTATCAGTATGTCTTGCCACCTTTCCTATAATCCAGTACGCATCCATCGCCATCATCTACCTCTCCAGCAGTTAACTCCACGGTACATCCTCTCTCTCAGACCTTGTGCTATTCTCGCTTTTCTAAAGCTCATGTTGCCTTGTTAGCGGCTATCACTTCTGTAGATGAGCATACTAGTTTTTCTTAGGTAGTTAAGTTTGCACGCTGGAGGGATGCATGGCCAAAAAAATTGTTGCCCTTGAGGCCAATCATACTTGGACACTTGTTCAACTGCCTCCAGGAAAGCGGGCCATTGACTCCAAATGGGAGCACGAAATTAAGTTTCTCCCTAATGGCCGTGTTGATGGTATAAGGCATGCCTTGTTGCTAAAAGCTATACGCAAATTGAGGGTGTTAATTTTCATGAAACTTTTGCTCCTGTTGCCAAATTAGTCATTGTCTGTTGCTTAATTGCCATCATCTCTGTGCGTAATTGGGAACTTCATCAATTGGATGACACCAATGCTTTCTTACACGGTGATCTTCACGAGGAAGTTTACATGAAAATTCCTTAGGGCTTTGCCACAAAGGGGGAGCAACGTGTTTGTTGTCTTCAGAAATCTCTTTATAGTTTGCGTCAAGCCTCTCATAATTGGTATCAAAAGTTTACTCAATCACTTGTTTCCGCCGGGTTTAAGAAGTCCTATTCTGATTCCTCTCTGTTTACTTACAGTAATGGGTCCTCATTTCTTGTTGTTTAATCTATGTCGATGATATAATTGTGTCTGACAATGACTCGCTTAAAATTGGCAAGCTTAAGCAATATCTTCAGAGTCATTTTCATATCAAAGATCTTGGTCCTTTCAAAATACTTTTGGGGCATTGAATTGGCCAGATCAGGCTGGGATTTCTCTTAGTCAGCAGAAGTACACTCTAGACATTTTGACTGAGTGTGAATTTACTGGGTGTCGTCCTAATCCTACTCCGATGGAAAAACAACATGGTTAGATCTTGAATCGGGGAAAATATATGAAGCATCGTGGGATGCCTTCTGTCGTTGACCATTACTCGTTCGGACATTACTTGTGCAGTTCATGTTCTTAGTCAATTCATGCATCAACCGCGTCAGCCACATTTTGATGCCGCAATATTAGTCTTGCTTTACTTGAAGGCAGCACCAGGGCAGGATATCCTTTTCTCTTCTGACAGTTCTTTACAACGGCGTGCTTATTGTGATGCTGATAAGGCTGGATGTCTTACACTCGGCGATCTACTACAGGGTATATTATGTTCTTGGGTTCTTCTCCTATTTCATGGCGATTGAAGAAGCAATATGTTGTTTCACGTTCTTCAGCAGAAGCTGAATATCGAGCTATGGCAGTTGGTATTAGTGAACTGGTATATTTAATTCGTCTTTTGACTGAATTGAAAGTGCCTTCGGCTCATCCTGTTTCTTTATTCTATGATAATCAGGCAGCACTTCACATCACCGTCAATCCAGTTTTTCATGAGCAGACAAAATATATTGGGATCGATTGTCATTTTGTTCGTCAGCATTTCCAGTCAATTGCTTATGCCTCGCCCGATCTCTTCAGTGTTACAGTTGCCAGACCTTTTCACTGAAGCTCTAGGTCGAGATCGAAATTCATGATTTGTTGTGCAAGTTGGCAATTCAGAATTTATATGCTCTAACTTGAGGAAGGAGTAAAAGATGTAATATGTGTAAATCGTAAATATCTAATATTTACCGTTACTACTAGGATTAGGAGGTAACTCAATTTGTTTGAATGTACAATGTATTGTGTTAATACAAGTGTGCTTTTTCACCATCTCTTTAGTCTTCAACTTTTTCGCATTGCCTTGTATGTGATAGTCTCACTTGATATTCTTTCTTTTCCTAGCTACCTTTACAAGACGATGGGAATGATCTAGCAAATTGTTTTCTGTCTTGATGAACTTTACCATCTCAACTTTGGAAGCTAGATGAGTAAAAAAAGTAAAACACAAAAATGGGCAAAAATAACACCGCGTCCCATGCAAATTTCAGAGCATGTCTCGTGCAAAAGAATTAATAATTTTATCTGCTTTGTATAAAGAAATTAAAACCAAGACAAATTTAATCATGATTGATGGTAAAATATTGTTTTAAGTGAAGCAAAAGTATATTAGTGATGGATGGGGTAAAACTACTTTATTCAAGACGGGAAAAAGTATCTTCATAAGTATTTTCTTTTCTTTTCTTTTCTTTTTTTTTTGGTTGTATCGTCATAAGTATGTATGTACATAATATATCACAAAATTGATATAACAAATTAAATAAAATGGTTCTTTTTTTTTTTGAAAAAAAAAAGGTAAAAATTGTATTAGTTAAGCAACAACAAAGTAATTGTAATATATAAATTTTTTTTGCATTCAAACACAGAAATTAGTATTACAACCTAATTCTTTACCAATTCTTTAAAACTACCAAATAAAGCAATTAGATTGAATTGTGATCTTAAAATCTAGTTTTTAGTTTTCTAAATTTTTAATGTCAATTCAATCTAATTTTATCAAACCGAACTGAGCCCGAGTGGATCAAAATTTTGTGGAAAGACTTTGCACAACCTTTTCACTATTCTCATCCGGAAGTTGCCCATCATCAAAATAATTCTTCGTCTTCTCTTCAATATATAGACAAAAGCTTCAATAAAAAGCAACCCCAAAATACTAATTATTTCCGCAAGCATGATATAGCCTATTTGTTTCTTGAAGTTGGAAATTTATAATGTAACAAAAAAATATTACACATCACAAAGAAAAAGAAGAGAAGGCATTCATGTATAACTCTACAATTGATGAACAACACAACATATTATGTTGACTAAATCACACTTGTAGCTCCCTAAACTAAATGCACAATCAATAAAATGTTATTGATTTCTAAGTTCATCGATCATTTCTGCCCAAAACTCAGGACTTCGTTCATCATCTCCCGTATTCATCATCCCACCACCAGCGTCTGCGGTTGGTGTTGGAGATGGTTCCAACACAATCAAGTGTGCATTAGCCATGAACTCTTCGAATTTAAAATCGTTCTTTGGCGTCCTCTTCAACTTCTTCAAGTTGTGTTGTAAGTGACCATTTTTCTTGCAGTATCTTCTTTTCTTACCATTACATAATGACGGGAATGCTTCTGGACCTAGCAAGTTGTTTTCGGTCTTGATGAACTTTACCACTTCAACTACAGATCGAAATTGTCGTCTGGAAGCTGGATGTGTGAAAAACTGAAAAAACAAAAAAAAATACATAAATAAAGACATGAGCAACCTTTACCATGATTTTTTTCTTTAATATAACGTTCACTAGAAAATTCATCAGACTTACTTAATTTGTTATCTTCAATCAACATTCTCGCTAGCAAATGGGGTAAAAAATGGTTGCTAACTCTTGACTATAAAGAACTTTTAATGGAGATTGCTATAAGGCATAGGTGACATTTTCAGAGCATGTCCCGTGCAAATTTTGTGATTTTCATGAAGGGAAATTAAACGACACTAGAATTTAGTTGGTACCGATGGCTTCTCCGAATATAAGGGTTTGAGAGTTTTATTTTAGTTTTTTTTTTTTTTTGCGGAACAAAAGATTAAAAATTAATTAAAAATTATACCTTCTGTCTCCAAAAAAAATAGTCCACTCTCAGTTTTGAGTTTTGTATTTTTTTTGTACAAATTCAAAAAATCTAATGTGAATTGTTTGAAACAGATCGAGAAGAGAGAGTATTAAAATATGAAAAAGAAAACTTTAAGCAAAATAAAAAAAATAAACACTATTCCTGATAATTTAAGCTTTAAGGTGGGTCGATGAAACTAATTAAATAATTCTTTTCTTGTTTAAGTTGGAGATTTGTGGTTAGGTGACATAAAATCTCTATTTTAATATTATCACAATTCGAACAGAGTTTTGAATCGATATCATTAATTTCATGGATAAACTAACTCTAATAAGTGACTATCAATTGTTCTACCTTATCTTGTGATTTATCAGGGCGTTCTCTTGTCTCCACCCTCCATTCTTTGAGCAAATCAGGGCGAACCAGACGAGTTTCATCCTTTGTGCCTGGCACTTTTACTTCAGGACCAGACCCGACCTAGACAAACATAATTCACAAATAAATTAATACTTGTAAATATATATTTCGTCTTTCTATTATAATTTTTACCTTTTATTTTCTGGTGCAGTAAAAGCTAGAAATTGGAGAATAAATAGTAGAAATTAGAGTTTAATTATTTCATAAAAAAATTAGTTAGAGAAACATGACTATTATTAGTGAACTAGATGAATTAATAATTAAGTATGGCAAATAAATGAACTTACATTATACATAGCTAAAGTGTGGGTGTTTGAATGATGATCATGAGCGTTTCTGATGAACTCAAAGTAAACCGACGAAACCTCAATGACCGTCGCAGTTATAGGACCTCTTCTTCTTCGTGCCTTTTGTGTGCTACTGCTGCTTGCTTCTCCGTCGCCTTGAATTCCAGCCACCTGTTTGTTTGTAAATGATTTTCATGAATAATTCAATATGCTATACACAAACCCTTGCATTGAAACCACGAAAGCAAAGATATGTAGAGAATATTGGAACATGTCAACCGCGAGAAGAAAAAAATAAAATAATAATAATAATAATAATAATAATAATAATAATCATAATCATAATTTTCACTATTTCTAAACTGATACATGGATATGGTCCTTACTTAGTACTCATATCTCCCATTTCGACCTTTTTTATTATTTATACTCATAATATTATAAATATTTTTATCTGTGAAAAAAATCATGTGGTCAGTTATAAAATAAGTTTTTAGTTTGAGTTACGCACATTTTAATAATTAAACCATGAGAGAAACGATTTAACACATGAAAACAAACCAATTATTGGAGCACCAAATGTATATACACATGATGACCATCTAAAATGACTCTAAGTGATGACTTGCTCGGTTCGCATATTATTTGAATTTGATAAATAACGAAATAATTTATGAATGATAATTTATGAATGAATGAATTTTTCATAGCCAAAATAATGATTATTTCAACAAACAAACCTTGTCATCCTCGTGAATAACAACGAGCGGATACATGTGGAGTGGCACTGCTTCAGTCGTAATTTGCACATCATTCTCCACATTAGGCCTCAGCGTAACGTCTCCTGCCGCTGGTTCCAAAACCTACATACATATTTGATGGAGGACGGATAATTATGCATATTTGATCAAATTCAAGGCTTCCGCTGCATCAATATTCAAGTTGCTAAAGTATTTTTAGCTAAAAAAGGGAGAAACTTTCCAAATTGAATAGTTGTCAACTTTCTATAACTTTTCCAGATGATAAATTGGAGTTTCGCAGTTTAAAAACCAATCTTGCCATCTATATTCTCTTTTTTTTTCTTATTTAAAGAATTCATGTTAAGGAATAACAAAATGATAACTCACTTAATTGTATGAAAATGAATCATATAAAAATCAAATTACTGTACCTGGGGTGCTGCCACGTTTTCCTCCAAACTCCTCCCACTCTCATTCCCTTGTTCTTCTTGCAAGACCAAAGATTCCACTCCCTATACATACATCCAAAATTACAAAATGAGGGTTTATTAGATTTTTTTTTAAAAGTTGATAATAACTGGTGGAGATATCAGATATGTATTAATTCGACAAAGTTGAAGAAACACCAAAATGTAACGGTTTTTTTAAGGGGGGGGAAAACCCTACTCCGGTATTGGGAAAACCAAGCCCGGAATGATCAGATTCCGGAATGCCACCGTCGCCGAAGATCATTGGATCATCAAACAGCGGCAGTTCGGGTGTGTTAGGAGTGTAAGGTACGGTGTCCCACCACTCTGGAACTGGAAATGGATCCAATTCGTTGGGAGCATCCCATTGAAAATTGTTATTTGATGCCATTCTTTTTCTTCTTTTTTTTCTTTTTTTCCTTCGTTGAAGATAAACTTGGCGGCTGCAAAAAAAAAAAAAAAATGAAGATGAATGAAGAATGATGAAAAGACTGAAATCTGAATGTGTAAGTGTGGTGGGTTTAGGGTTTGATTTATATAGGAGGTTTTCATCTTTTTGAGGTTTTGTTCACGCTGTTTTGGATTTTCCAGGTTAGGGAAAATAGTAAGCATTTTTGGACATTGTTGAATTTAGGTCAGGCAGTGAAAATATTGCTAAAAATGCCTGGATATTTTGCTTTAATGGTGATTTGAATTCGACCCAAATGAGTCCTCTTGATAAATGTATGCTGCATTTTTTAATACATATGATTATGTATGACTTCAAATTTTTTCCAAGATTTACTAACGCTGAAAATTCCAGTATCCTGGAAATTCATTGAATTTTTAATTGTTTGATATTTTACCACATTAGGCGCATTTCTTTACTCTGACCAATTGTTTTTCTGCATAATTTGTACCTTTTGATTCTATAGATTGACAACGTTTCAAACTATGCATAAAACATATAAATAATCTGACTAAATTCTTTATCCTTTTAATTGTGGAAGGTATTTGTGGGAGAGTGAAAACAAATGTAGCCACTGCCTAGGAATTATGAAGACTCTTCTCTTTATCATGACACATTTGCAAACATTTTCACCCCAAAAATAATAAATAAATGATAAAAATAGAGGTATATTGGTAACTTGCATTAAGTTTTAGTGTTTGTTCCAAGTTTCAGCTTGAATTCCTTGGGTTGATTATTTTCTGATTTTCTCTTCATTGTTTTCGTCATAAAGGTCTAAAAATATTGACGTGGATATAAAGAAAGGCGCCTATACTGAAATATTTTACGATTTTTTTCATATTTATAAAGTGTTTATCGTCGACAACAGTGATTAATTTCCCTCGCTGAATTCTAGACACGTTAATGGTAAAGTTCCTAAAGCTTTATGAATTGAATAAAACATTAGCAAGCTTTATGAAATGACTTAGGGAGTGGCATATTAGAGAAGTCAACGCGTGGGGCGAAAATTTGTGATTTGTTTTTTCCATAACTACGCGCTTTAACTACGCGGGTAGAAGAAATTAAAATGACGCTGATCTCTCTTTTTAATTTTTTTTAAATTATATTTTTTTTTATTAATGTCCTTTCTTCCTCGTATTTTCTTTCTCATGCATGTTCGATCGGTTTCTCCAGTCGTGGACCTGTGGTCCTCGTCAAAAAATATTATATGCAATTAAAATAATATTTTCCCTTTTATCCAAAAAAAAAAAAGATTTTACGTAACAAATTGAATTATTTTTCTAAGACGAGAAGGTTAACTTTTTTGAAAATTATAATTTTGTTTCTTCAAGATCGCAGCCAACTCGTTAGAAATTAAACTTAAGAGAGTTAAATTGTTTATATTCCTCGCAGCTTTGTGTGGCAAAATGATACCAATTTTCCAAGACTAAAAACAGACAAATCATTTTTATTATATCATTTTAGTCTAACAATAATTTTTTTTTTTTTTTGTTTTTTGCCGAAAAGGATCGTGTTTAGAAGAATATGAAAAATGGCTTTAACTTCAATTTCAGTTCATTTCAAGTAAAAGAAGAGAGAATGCGGCCATTGTGGCACTGTCCACAACCACAGAAAATGTAGTAGTACTATCAGAATAGTATGAGAATCAAAAGCCCCAAAATGATATTTCCTCAAAAAGTCATTGTCAACTCAACGCGGCAAATATGGAATAAAGAAATTTCCATAACAAGACCTTGGAGATTGACTTATGTACTCCAATTTCTCACTCAATAAATATACTTCTTCCCTCCACCCCCTAAAGTCTCACCACCTAATCTCACTTAATGCCTTCATCTTCCTTCCATTCTCCCTTCGTTTAACACTTGGCCAACCAAACAGTAGCATTTGAAGACTTGGAGTCAATAGCCAAGAGGAAGTAGGAAACTATCAATCATGGAAACAAGCTTGAGGAAGTTGAAACTGGAAAGAACTCTCTCACTCCAAACTTGCTTCCCCGAAAACTTCTCTGCTCCGGGCTCGGGTACTTCCTCTGATCATTTCCCAGCCAATGGCATTGGCTCCGGCGGCAGCAACTGCTCCACTGCACAGCATCATATTGTTTCGGTCCAGCTTTCCTACAGTGGGAACATACCCATTGGAGCAGATTTAAGCACAATACAGAATGTAGCAGACCAAATGACTTATGAAGCACACATACATGCAAAAACTCCAGATGCAAGGGGAGAAGCCAGTTGAGTACTTTCTCCAGACTTCAAACGTTTCTCTTTTTTCTTTTTATTAGTGACTACAAGCCATTCTCTTAACAGTGAATTCTTACAATAAAATGACTTGGGCTAGGATGAGCTTTATTGCTGTACAAATTAGTGTGCAGTGTTGTTTTATCCATAATATCATTTCCAAGGCACTCTAGAAAACAAACATTGAAAGTAGTATTACTCTTCTGAAACTCTTATTTCGATCTTGTATGCTAAGTTACGTAGGAACTTGGATCAGTGATTGGCGTAACATTCTTGTATTCCATTACCATATTCTGCTGAAAGGGAGTGGAAAGCAGAGGGTATCAATTAAAGATCTTATGCTTTAATTAAGCTTCATCATCAATAATGATAAACCCACTGTAATATACTTAAGCTAAATAGTGTTACCTTGTTTTGAACTTGTGTTTCTGACTCGGGTTTTCCCTCGTTCTAGGCACACCTTCAGCTAAAAATCTTACTATGTATGTGCCCTTATACAAAGCGGCATTTAGAGGAGATTGGAAAATGGCAAACGCATTCTTCAAACAGCACCCCGAGGCACTTACTGCAAGGATCACTAAAGGCTGGGAATGTGCTCTTCACATTGCTGCAGGAGCTAAGCAACTAAAATTCGTGGAGGAGCTGGTAGAATTGATGGATCCGCCTGCACTTGCTGCTCAAAACAAATTTGGAAACACGGCTCTTTGCTTTGCTGCGGCATCGGGAATCACAAAGATAGCACAAGTCATGGTGGCAAAGAACAGTAACCTTCCGATGATTAGGGGCAGTAAAGGAGTTACACCCCTTCACATGGCTGCTCTGCTAGGTCAGCAGGATATGGTGTGGTATCTTCTTTCAGTTACTGATCCTAAATATCTTACCAAAGAAGACTATGTTAGCTTGATTATCGCAACTATAAGTACAGATTTATATGGTGAGCAAATGTTTCAATCGAGCAAATACTCTCTCCTATTGCAAAAAGTTACTTAAGAATAAGATCTCTTCTACTGTCTACAGATGTAGCCCTGCTTATACTTCAGGACAAACCGGGGCTCGCCATTGAACGCGATCCAAATGGGGAAACTGCTCTTCATGTTTTAGCTAGAAAGCCATCAGCATTTTCATCCAAAGAAGGGTTAAATTTCTGGCAGAAGTGCATATTTCCATGTAAAGTTCCCCCTAGCTAGTTCATAAATTTCGGTTCTTTAGAGAGTGGAACATACATCCAATCGTAGTTTGCATTTAAATGATACACAATCTTCCCTCAGTGGTCAGAGTGCACATATGGAGCAAATCCAGCATCAGATCTAACATGGCAGTGAAACAGAACAAGACATGCATACAAGGTACATGGATACTGCAATATCTTTGACTCCATATATCGGGATAAGCAATAATTAAATTTGTTTCAATATCTTTAATTTTCAGCAATCCACAATTCTTATTTTCTTCTTATCAATGACATTGCAGGATTGATGGATAAACTTGTTGGGAAAATAGGTGAGAATCATCCATCAAAATTACCTTAGAACCTTTCTTTCCTAAATAGCTTGCTTTTGCATGAACTTAAAATAGTGGTTACCTCTCTTCTCACATTAGGAATCAAAGAAGTATCTGAGAAAAAGTTGATGCGTCTGCAAGCCCTCAAGTTGTTGGAATGCATTTGGCAACAGATCATGTGTTTGGATGACTCCCACATTGGGAAGTTACTCAGAGGGCCCTCAAGACCTCTTTTTGTAGCTGCAGAATATGGAAACTTTGAATTCATTGTCCAGCTCCTCCGCTCCTACCCTGATCTGATCTGGAAAGTGGATGAACAAAGCAAAAGCTTCTTTCATATTGCTGTCGTACATCGGCAAGAGAGGATCTTTAAACTCATTTACCAAATAGGAGGTCTTAAGGATCTCATCACCTCCTACAAAGCCACAGATAATAGTAACATGTTACATCTAGCAGCAAAGTTGGCACCCTCAAATAGACTGAATATAGTCTCTGGAGCAGCCCTGCAAATGCAGAGGGAGTTACTATGGTTTAAGGTAAGGTTTGCAGTTTCAGTCAGGCACTTATTTTCTGTATCTCACAAATATCTTATTTGATCAACCATTTAAAGGAGGTGGAGCAGAATGTACAACCATTGTATAGGGAGATGAGGGACTCGGAAGGAAGGACACCACATATGCTATTCACTCAGGAACACAAGGCATTACTCAAACAAGGAGAAAGATGGATGAAGGATACAGCATCGTCATGCATGCTTGTAGCTACACTTATAACTACGGTAATGTTTGCCGCCATCTTCACAGTACCAGGTGGAACCAAAAATGACACAGGAACCCCAATTTTTCTCAAGGACAAGTCTTTCATGATTTTTTCCGTATCTGATGCACTAGCTCTCTTTTCATCTGTGACATCAATACTGATGTTCTTGTCAATTCTCACTTCACGATACGCAGAAGAAGATTTCGTGAAAACATTACCTCAGAGGTTGATTCTTGGGCTTACGACGCTCTTCTTCTCCATCGCGACAATGCTTATAGCTTTTAGTGCAAGCTTTTCCATAGTTCATGGTCATCAACTTGCCTGGATTATCATCCCAGTAGCATTAGCTGCTTGCATTCCAGTGATATTATTTGTATTTTCTCAGTTTCCACTTGTAGCTGATATGATTCATTCTACTTATGGATCAGGAATATTTGCAGGAAATACAACATCAGACATTCTTTTCTAGGATTAGCTCAGCTAAAAACTGTTGTATGCAATGAAAGGAAATACATATTCATTTTATTCATTTAGTTATCAAATAAAAAATGAAAATTTTTCATTTTTATTCGATTGAATCTTCAGTTTCCTTTTAAATAGTTATATTCAATTGTCAAGTGATTAATTTAATCCAAAGTCTCATCTGATAAATAAAGAATATAATTATATCTCGACTAATAAGCAGGTATAACATGTGATAAAGAAGCAGTGTTCCTCTGGCATTGATCAATAAGATTGAAAGACCATTTATATCAAAACCCTCAGGTATAAGATGTTAGTGAACCAGAAATTAACATCATTATATCTAAATCAAAGTAGCACAACTGTGCACAACAATAATTTAGACACCACATTGACAAACCAATTGAAAGATAGATGTAAATGTACTTCGACAAGATTGAGGGGCTTAAAAAGGATACTACTTTTCTGAAACCAAAAAGGAAAATGTGAGAACCCCAAAATTGGTTGACATTACTGCCGTAAGTAAACTGGCTATATCGAATATCCAGGATCAGACTAGTAAGAAGTTCCTTGGAGATGTGTGGACTTCTGTCTCTCAATAAACAAGAAAGTTGCTAGTTGGAGTATGGCAAAACTGAGGCACAGACGTTTGTACCTTTTCAGAATACCAAGATGCTGACACACATCCTAAAGAACCCTTGTAACATGTCTTGGTTGAGGATGATGTATGTACATTCTTTGATCTAGCTAGCCACTTACCAGGTACTTGCGAGAGACTTCATTTATCAAACAAGATCACAAAAATAATAAGGCCATCATGCAACAGAGGGCGTTGCAGGCTTGCAGCTTTTGGCTCAGCTCTTATCTAAACCAAGTACAGAGAACAAACCACCAACCAAAATTCAGATGGAAACACGTTACAAACAGTTTCCATTCAACTAAATGACAAAATTTATGCAACAAATTAATAATGTAATGCTATTTATGCATATTTTAGGAAGGCATGCAAACAAAATGCCAGCTTTTTGGACTGGTTTAGGGTAATAGCTGGGACATATAGCTTGACCATCAGGGAGCAACCAGGATCTTCTTGCGAAGGAGATTCTCAAATTTTGCAGGTCAGATCCCTGAACCATTGAGATTTGATTCAAGTAGTTTTTTTTCCTAAAGATAATTACAAACCCCACCAGCGCTCAAATTGTTAGATTTCTATAGTAGTGAGCAGCAGTGAGAGGCCTACGGATCATTAGCTAGGGCAAGAACGCACGTGACCTGCAGTTTCTATGTGATGATGGCACTATAACCAGATTAATCAAAATCATTCCATGTGTTAGATGGCCTGATCCTGAGACGGGCCAGATGTTTTTGTGTTTTGAAGGCAACAATTATCTTTTAGCTTTGCTTTAAGCATCTATAGCAACTCACACCATTAACTAGACACAAACTACACATATATATATATATATGTATATATATACACGGAAAAATAAGTTGTATATCACCAGAAAAATATTCGGATGGGGTACATCCTAACAGAATGTGCAATCAAGATCAATTTGTTCAAGATATTTACAAGAGTTAGTTTTAAACGGAGTCGAGAGCTGACAGAGTCAATCACCTACAGTTCCACTGCTTAATAAAATGAACAAGTTCAGACATGTGCATGAGTTACAGCATGATAGGGTTGTGCACAAATTTTCCAGGTGCTCATATTCTCAGATGGCAGAAAAAAAGCTTATACATAACTTTGAGAATCTAGCTGAAAGTTTGGAGATTGAAATCAAAACCTACAAAGCCAAACCAACACGGTGTATCCCTTTCTATGGTGAAAACCCCCTGTCTGCCCCCAAAAAGGAATCATGTTTTCAAGTCTGCACAGTTCAAGCCTAAAATGCATTTGATATTCACCATACGGAAAAAAAAAAAAAAAAAAGAAACTCTATTTCCATGTTTGAGCAACCATAACATGCGTGTCATTAAGATACATTTTCATATTACATTATCAGCAATAATAGCAAGTCATCTCAGAGCAAAAGCCAAATACTACTTCATCTAAATGGGGAAAAAAAAAACATTCTTATATAACAGTTTAGGACTAATTAAAAAAAAAAAATTAATAATAGAGCCTAACCCTTTCTTTCAATCTGGCTTCTTCAAGTTCAAGCTGTTGTCCGTAGCTTCTCTGAACAGCTCCTGCACAAGTTTCAACTCCTTCTCGGCCTCTTCCAGTTGCTTCTGAAGTTCTTGCCCAACAGCATCATTTTCAGCCTGAAGCTCTGCAATCCTCTTCAACTGAGCTTCTTCACCTCCTTCCGACAACGGAAGTGCATTAACCAACGTATCAAACTGCTTGGCAGCCTTGACAAGAGCAGAACTCATCAGCTTCGCTTGCTCGGGGAAATTGGCCGCATCTTCTGCGGTGGTGGTAGCCGGATTCGAAGGTGGGTCTGGGTAATCTGGAGAAAGCTTCACCGGAGGAGCATCCCTTTGAAGGGTTCCAAACGTATTGAAGGCTAATTCTGAAATTACGTTCAATTGTTCTTGCAATTGCGATATGATATCCATCTCAAAAAAAAAAAAAAAAAAGCTGAGACCTTTGAGATTGGAAGGATTCAAAAGGGTTTCAAAATTATGTCCTGAACTGGATTCAAGAATCCCTCTAACTGGGCAATTGATTTGGTGTAAGCTTAAGTGTTTCAGATCCTTGTTTATGGAGTAATTGAGGGACGAAAGCTGGAGAAGGAGAAAAATTAAACGGTGGAGAGAACTGGCTCTGGAACTGGAAGCCTCCAAAGAACAAAAGAAACTTCTATTTAAAAAAGTAGAGTCAACATAATTTAATACTACAAATTTTAGAATTTGTATTAATTTTAATACAAATTTCAAATTATTGCGGATTATTTTTTATTTTATTTTATTTTTAAGACAGCAAGAATATTTTGTTGAAATTTGCTAAACAGGATTAACATATTTAAACAGACACTTTAAGACTTCCCAACATTGTAATCCGGTCATATCACTGAATTCAATTCCAATTTCAAAAACTGGAATTCATTCAAAATTTTGTCTACATTTTAGATTTTTTTAACCCCTCCAAAAACCCATTTAACAAAAGGTGGTAAACCACGTAAATTTTTTTTTTTTCCCATAAAACTTACAAAGTACCAGAAAACTTCATGATCATCATTTCTTCATTGGTAAATTAATGTGTTCTAAAGAAAACCATTATTTTATAAATTTCTAAATTCAATATAATTTTTTTTTTGTTTTTTGTGGAGAATGATTACTATTCTGTGAAGAATAATCAAAACTTACCTAACTCTTCTCTTTTAGTAATATACCTTCCATCTCCAAAAAGCATATAAATACAATTTTGTCTCTTGTTTTTTAGAAGGAGCTATGTCCAGATGGTGATATTCAAGAAAAAATCACTGACTGATGATGGGAGCTGGCATATTTGTGGCGAGATGAAAATGGCAAGGAATGGAAAAAGATCAAGACATTCCTATGATTATATTAATGCGAAGGTCTTTGTTGGTGAATGTAGAGAGATAGTTGGCCCAATAAGGAATTCTATGCTTTTCTGATTAAATGGTCCAAGTCGATGATAAATGTATTGTCCAATAATAAATCCAACACCTCTTTTTATTTAATGGTCCAAGTTAATGACAAATGCATCTAGTAGTCTGAAATTATCACATATAAATCAAAATAACAATCTAATCGGAACTAAACTATCCCAATAAGCAAGGAATCACTTTTGTAGTGTGATAGAAAATCACAACTAAAGCAATTATAGTGAAATGGGTTGAGATAGATCAATTGACAAAGTTCAGCAAAGTTGTCACTAAAATTACTCTTGCTACCAACCAAGTGTAACAACATAGCACAGCACCAAAATTGTTTTTTTGGCTTTTAAATGATTTTCCTGCCCTGAATGAATGTAATTTTTTGACCGTGGTTAAAAGGGAAAACTTCACAAACAACAAACCGTTTGGATTTGTGGGTATTAGAAGGTTCGAAAGTTGGATTTCTTCTTTTAACTGTTCACACACTGAACGTGTTGTGCGTGTCAGCGAATTTTTTTACTATCCCAAGTCCGAACTAACCTCGAACTGTACTTCCCATTCGAAATTTTCACTTTCCCGAGAAAATCCCCTCATCCGAATCAACCGATTCACTATTCACCCACCCATCCGATGATGATGATATAAAAAGGGTCAAATTCTATTTTTATAAATCTCAGATGATTCCGACGACCACCGGACCAAAACTCAGATCGCCGCCGCCGCCGTCCAAACTCTTCAGTAATGTTAGTAATTCTTCACACACCAAAATGCCGCCTCGCAACAACAACAGATCATTCCTCAAACCGACACTAACTCTAGCTTCCGTCATCTCCTTATCCCTCTTCGTTCTCTACTTTGCTTTCTTCAGCCCATTTTCTCCCAATTTCAATCACACCAATCGAATTGACAGTCACAGCAGCCCGGGTTCCTTGTCGGGTTCTCCGGGCAACGGCGATGCTCGACCCGTTAAGATTTACATGTACGATCTGCCGAGGAAGTATACCTATGGGGTGATCGAGAGCTACGCCAAGGCCCGGGGCGGACCCGACCCGAAAGGGAATGATGCCTTGTTGAAGTATCCCGGGAATCAGCATTCCGCCGAGTGGTATCTTTTTCGTGATTTGAATCGGCCGAGTCGCGAGAGGGTGGACTCAGCTGTCACTCGGGTTGACGATCCCGAGGAGGCTGATCTTTTCTATGTACCGTTTTTCTCGTCTATAAGTCTCGTGGTTAACATGAACAGACCCGGGGCGGTGGGCGACCCGGTTTTGTATAGCGATGAGGAGATGCAGGTAGTGTAGTTATTTCTTGATTTTGTTGAAGTTCAATATTTGTTTGATTATGACGTTGAACGGATTTGGTGTTAATGGGGAGCTGGATTTGTTAGCTTAGTCCCTTGTAGGTTCGATAAATTTGGTTGTTTTTGTTGATGAAAGATACCTTTTTGAAGCTGTTCATTGTTAAAAAACCGCCTGAAATGATTCCGTGTTGTTAAACTGCAATCCTTACTTACTGATCTCCTTAACTTTGCATTGAGTTTTTCCATCTTCTAGCTCATGTGATTGGTAGATTTTTGAGTTCTTTCATTTTCGGTTGTGAATGTATTGATGCATATTTGCTCAGATAATGCTGGAGAAGTTAACAAGTACTGTGTTATGTTTGGTCATTTATCTGATTGACTACTTAGTTGATGGTTACCGTCAACATAAGTTCTAACTGGATGTAGGGATATGTTTTTTTCATTTGTCGTGCAGGAATCTTTACTGGAGTGGTTGGAGAAACAAGTGTACTGGAAGAGGAATAATGGCTGGGATCATGTATTTGTGTGTCAAGATCCTAATGCATTGTATAAGATAGTAGATAGGGTGAAAAATGGGGTATTGTTAGTTTCAGATTTTGGGAGATTGACTCGTGAGCAGGGCTCACTTGTGAAAGATGTGATCTTGCCATATTCTCATCGAATTAATTCGTACACTGGTGAAATTGGGGTAGAGAGTAGAGACAAGTTGCTCTTTTTCATGGGGAACAGATACCGGAAGGAGGTAATTTGACTTTAATTGTTGTGGATATTTGTCTCTCACCTCCTATGTCTCTTCCTGTTCTTATCATCTTATTGGGAATGATAAAATTAAATCCTGAACCTGCACAGAGATAGAATAAAATTTTCTTTCATTTGCTTACTGTTTTACACTTATGGTTGTGAGTTGGTTTTTTGAACTACACCATCCAAGAAGAGTGCCTTTACTTAGCCCTACTAAGAGTGATACTTCTCCGGCGGAAGACTATGGGCCTGAATCATTTAATCAATAAAAGTAAATCAACGCATGATATCTTGTGCACATTGAGAATATCTCTAAATAGTTTTACCGAGTCTTAGTCTCTCCATTCATGTGTCAGTGCGAAATGGGACTCTGTTTCGTACTTTCATGGTATAACTGAAAAACCTGAAACCCCCCCTTGTTTGATATTGAAGATGTTATATATGTGGACATATGATCTTTGTCTAGTTTCGTTAAGAATGATTGTTTTCGAAATACAACATATAGCTTGCGAATCTTGACAGTATCTCTATGTTGTATGTAATACTCGTGCAAATTGCCCAAGAAGAGGGGAGTGATAATAAGATGAAAGGTGATTTGTTTTCTTGGCTTAAAGCTCTGAACTGAGTCATAGATGGTTGGGCTTTGGTCGCCAAATCAGAAAACTTTGCAAATCAAGTCCTGAGATTGGTTTTCAACTGCTGCTGTTTTATCCTTGACTATTATTGCTTTATTTTGGTCTTTTCTCTTTACCACCTCTTCTAAAATCATGTTAACTAATAGTCATTTGCTTTCTCTTCTTCTTTAATAATTTTAGGGGGGCAAGGTGCGGGACTTACTATTCCAGGTGCTCGACAATGAAGTAGATGTTTTGATAAAGCATGGTGCACAGTCTAGAGAGAGTCGTAGAGAAGCAACAAAGGGGATGCATACTTCAAAGTTTTGTCTTCATCCAGCTGGTGATACTCCATCAGCTTGCCGTCTCTTTGATGCCATTGTGAGCTTGTGTGTTCCAGTTGTTGTAAGTGACTATGTTGAGCTGCCTTTCGAAGATGTAATAGACTACAGAAAAATTGCAATTTTTGTGGATACAAATTCAGCTGTGAAACCAGGATTCTTGGTGAACTTGCTTAGGACAGTAAGCGCCGATCAAATTCTGGAATTCCAGAAAAATTTAAATGAGGTTATCTCTCTCTCTCTCTCTCTCTCTCTCTCTCTCTCTCTCACTTAAAAATTCAAAGCATCTAGAGAATAAGGAAATCATGAAAGTATAAAAACTGCTGTTAGTAACTTTTTCTTTGAGTGTTTATAAGTTTCTGTGAGGTGTCTTCACTTTGCTTGTCCTCTCTCTTGGTGTTGAGTTTATCTGGAATTTGGAGAAATGTTATAATGCACAAGAGATCGGAGTTCTAGAGTTCACATCTTTGGACTTTCGGGTGTGGAGAGGTAGCTTGAGAAAGAAAGAGCGATTTTTAAGTTGTGATTAAATCTCATGCACGATCAGGTCATTAGGGTTAGTGTAAGTATGAGAGCTAAGGAAACGATCTGTGCTTCTGTGTGCATTGCTAGCTAGTTGAACAGAACAATGAGAATTTAAACAAACACCACTCATGGCTTTGCTTATAGTTGGTCAAAGGGACTTGCATCAATATTGTCTGACAGCCTTTATTGGCTAGTTCTTCATTCTCTACTCTGTAAAGAAATGGTTTGTAAATTGAATCCAATAAGCAAGCTACGATGTAGTTTTACTCAACATAGATTGCCATTCGGTGCTTGATGCTTTCTCAGAAAACATAGAGTTAACAGCTAGAGTACTTTGACCCATTAATTATTAATCAATCATCAGAGTTTAAAGTTAAAATAAGGTTTTTTTTTGTAAGGAAACAGACTCCAGAATTGTGTCATTTCTAATGAAAATCCCATGTAATAATTTGCATATTAATAATCTCACTTTTCCTTCCCCGGCATCTCCAATTCTGATAAGAGCATTCAAATTATTTTCTGGTTGTCCTTTTTTCCTAATTCTTTGGAATTAGTTTTTTTATATTTATTGTTTCATTGAATTTCATCATGTGCCAGAGACTTGTGCTTTACACAAAAACTCATGATGTGTTCTTTTCTTGCTTTCCTCATCTTCTAGATCTAGGAAGCATGATTATGAGTTTTGATCATAATTATGGTAAAGAACTGTAGAAACATGTATTTCTTTTATTCCAGCCATGATGGACTTGCTAACATTCTGCCGTATTATTGATTGTCCAGGTGAAACATTACTTTGAATATGAGGATCCTAATGGGACAGTCAAAGAGATATGGCGCCAAGTCTCGCAGAAGTTACCCCTTGTTAAACTCATGATAAATCGTGATAAGCGACTTGTGACAAGGGACTTACAAGAGCCAGACTGTTCTTGTATGTGTTCAAACCAGTCTGGTATTCATACAACATCATAACTTACAATTTCCGCACGATGACCAAAAGTATGGCTATGTAACAGTATAATAGCCAAGTCGCTTCCATTTGTTGGCTGTATAGGTGATGGATATGGTGGCAGGCTTTCCTATACATTTCTCAGGACATTGCTACAGAGTTTGTCACATCCACAGTCCCCAGTGGTGGACAATCTTCAGGGGTCGAAGGTCTATAGGTGTTCCGGACGGGTGTAGGTTATTTATACAGTTCTCATTATCAGCACAAAATATACAAGTGATAGAAAGATGGATTTAGATGTTGTAAAATTAGCTTGTAGATTGTGACATTAAAATCAGAGTGATAAAGCAAAAGTTTTGTTTACTTTGCTTAGTGAGGAATTTATAAGTAAAACAGGATTAGATATTGTATTTTTTATCCCCTTTTTTTTTTTTGTTAATCAACCAAAAAGTCACTCCCTTCAAGAAATGCTCCCTCTTTTTCTGGTGGATGGTATGAAAGTCTAGTTGCAAACAAATCAAACCTCATTCATGTGAAATATGGCCTCGCGCAATCAATGATCAGTGGAACAGTTCTAGACTGAAACCTCTTTGACCTTATTGCAAGTGACATTTTAAAATCTAAATGACATACTTAACCTCTAGATCATAGGATACTAGCAATTACAAATGTGATTTCAGAATATAGGTGTTTCAGTAGATCTTAAAGTTACACGCAAAAAAGGACAAGAAAATAGATTAAGTTGCAAGAAACAAATTGTCCAGGAGTTCATTGCAACTGAATGCGAAAACAGACCAAAAAAAAAAGGCTCTAGGGTTCTGGAGTTATTCTGAATGTTGAACAGAAAAAAAACAAGGCAGAGGACACTATAAAAAACAATTGCAGGTTTGTAGCAATTTAAGCCTGATCTCAACCAGGTGGCCATTTCATCTGTCTTCCACCAAGTACATGCAGGTGCAGATGGTAAACAGATTGACCTACATAAGAAAGTCACAAATTTCACTAAGCAACAATTTGCATAATTTTGCTGTTAGATGTATTGCATAGAAAAGAGACTTCTCAACTTTGTAACAGAATGTGATAAGCCTCTACTCTTCCATTGGAACAGGTATAAAAGCAATCGTCACCCCCGTTCTAAAATTCAACCCACATGGACTTGAATACAGATCATTATTATGCACATAAAAATAGCAAAATTGATAATACTTACATGCAGTTGGTCCACTGTTTATCACGACACGAAATCCATCAACAATGCCTTCTTTCTCAGCAACAATTTTAGCTGCATAAAGAAGATGCCCCAATATCTCCGCATGTCTTTGTTCAGCCTGCAAAGCATTTGAACTCCATGAGGCACAGAAAACCGACATCAATCTGCCTGCTTTTAACCTAAAGATCTGACACACGCAGGTCAACATGTAGGCTTCAACAGTTTCAGGCTTTTTGCTGCCTAAATAGTGTTTCTTTTTAGCTTATATTGAAGAAACATTTTAGAAGATTCCTTGGGACCCTGTTTGTTGTACTTGGGGGCCAAATAAGTGAGTCTGTCTTCACAGATTAAAAAGGCGAGAAAAATAAATATGAATAAAGGGCCCAAGATCAGAAGAAGTCAAAACACGAGGAATAACGACTTGTTTCAGCAAAGTATGTTAATGTCATGCAATACAAATGCTTCAGAAAGCGGGCACACATTCATTTGAGGCCTACTTCATGATATGGTGCTTGCTGGCATAACTATGGTTATGTATCTTTTAAGTATAGAGACAACATATTTTTAGATAAAATCATTATGTACAACGCAAAATGCAACTATGGCATACTAACAAGACAAAATTTTACATACAAGATGTTTCTTTCCAGAATTTGGTCAAAGCTGCATACACTCAATGCTTTCCAAACTCCACAAAAATGCGTGGGTTCTCTCCTATTTTAAGCGGATGAAAGTTTTGTGGCCTACAGTAGATGAAAATCTTCGCAATATTTCAATTTCATGTTCCACTATCTCACATGCAGCAAAAAGCTTCAATACAATGATTCCGATGAAGCAATCGCACAGCATAAACCCTTTCCTCATACAAAATTTGTTCCTTATTACCTTTATTCCGTTTTATCATTTCTTTCTGCAGGGTTTAGATAGTATATATGATGAGATTTTCTATGTCCTATTCATTAAATCAACAGCACCAATTAGTAGACAAATTTAAGCAGATATCATTATTAGACCTTAACAGAAACCTTAGAAAACTAGAAAGGAAAACTGTGGAAATCACCTTGCCAAGCTCTGTTAATCCATCCCTTGATTTTGGAATGACTAAAACATGAGTGGGAGCTTGTGGATTGATATCTCGAAACGCGAGTACCTTTTCGTCTTCATATACTATGCTGGAAGGGATCTCTTTCGAAATAATTTTGTCAAATCTGAAGAGCAGAATGCCGAAAAATAGATCAAGATAAATGAAAGAAAACTAATTGGATTCCTGGAATCAAAACATCAGTAAAGGCCACAAAATGTAGTGAGCAAATTTGTATTAATCTTTTGTTTTGCCGGAAACAAAATGAACATAGAATCCTGTCTTTACTTCAATGATAAGATAGCAAATAATGCAGCTTATACGCATGCTGGAATTGAGATAACTCGCCAAATTTCTCTCCAGCAACATGAGAGAACAGGGATAAGAAACGAAATTACGGCCATGTTCTATACAATTAGTTTCTGTATTTCAGAAAGCAATTAAACCTAATCAACCACAAAAGTGTCTTCCTTCAAAGTGTTCTCAGTTTCACAAATGAACATAAAACTTATTAGAACCCTACACACTCATTACCAGTAGTTAGACAAGACTAAAGGAGGAAGGTGATTGTTTCCTACACGGGCCAAAACATTCTGTTTCCTAAGACCTGTTCTTGGTCAAGGAAAGATGGTCTTTAATTTCAATAGTTACCATTTCAAAACTCTAAAAACACCAATATGTACCAATTACTTTAGGAAACTAGTACCAACTATCAATAATTACTAAAAGAACTTTCACCTGTCTTTTCTGTACATGTTCTATCACGACAATCCAACCAATCAAGGAAAAAAAAATCAAAGCTCATGAAAAATGCAGTACAACTCTTGCTTGTCAAAATCCTACCATATGACAATTTGTCCCAGAGGGTCCAATGGCGAAGCCCTTGCAGTTGACTCATTATAAAACAATATGGACTCTTAGTTTATGTTTTATGTTTCTATAATTCGCTAAAGTTAACAACAGATATAAACAAGTTACAAGTATGCTACGGAGAGTAATGGAAAATTTGGCTGAAGAAAGTACATTTAGCCATCAAAGTTGATCCACCTATGCTATCAACAATATTATGGAGACCACTTCAAAAAAAAAAAAAACAATATTATGGAGACTCTCCATCGAAATAAGGGAAGACTGATTATAAGTTACCAATACAGTATTGGTGAATTTAATATTAGTAAATTTAGTTTGTATTTGGGAGGCAAAGCAAGAGAAGACTGCTTGCGAGTTACCAATACAGGAATAGCGCTTCAAATTCTGTTCTGTCCTCTTTTTTCTCGTTGATTAGAATCAAAATTATTCAAAACCTACTTCCATCTAACAGCTTTTACAGGCTTTCATCTTTGGTTAACATCTGCATCAAACTTCCAAATATTCTGAAATCAGGAAACATAATCAAGAAGAAACGAAGGATTCCCAAAGTTGACTACTGACCAGAAGGCTGGTTTTACATACAGCAGTCAAGGATTCTAGATGTTTAAACTCAGTAAAACACACGTAAGAATAGATTTTTAACACTAACACAAAAATCATTACCAATTAAAGAACTCAAACGGTTTAAAAGAGAATCTTCAGTCAGACTTGGGTTACCATGTCCATTATAATCATTCAGAAGAAACAGATACAATTTATACCCAAACATATGGACAAGGACGATACATGGTAGGTGCTCCAGTAACAGCATCCGCAGCAGCAGCTCTAGCAGCGGCTTCTTCGTCGTGCGTAGCTCTTACAGAACACAATGTCCTAGGGAAAGGAGAATGAGTCAAATGGATTGCACTTCAGGAGAATAACCAGTCATTGGCATGAATAATTAATAGCATGTCAACTGAGTTCCTCTACAAAACATCAAACATGAAGCTTGAAGGGCCAGTTATACGTAGCTCAACATGAGAACTACCAACACGACAGTAGAGATTCATTAAATAGACATGAAACTAGTTTAGTACTAACGAGGATCATATGAATCCTAAACAAGATAGATATAGAAACAGACATAATTCCTCAAGTTTGTAGCGACGAGTCCCACATTACCAAGAGACGCCTGGCCGTTGTTTGTCTCATTACCACTCAGTATTCTCAGGACAAGACATATAGCAACAAATTTGCCAACGATCAAACAACCAACACTCCAAGACAAGCAATGCCACAATGCATAACACGTCCTTCGAAAATGATTGCTTAAAAAAAAAAAAAAAAAGTAACAGTAGCTTATATACTTCAAACAAAACAAAAGGTTTAAATCTTTTCGAAAGAACAAAAACGATTGCCACCACAAAAAGAAAATGATACAAGGAAAATTCTAGTTCCTTGCAATGCTCTAGCACCTAGTAGGCAAAATAAATGGGCAAAACGAAGAATTACAATAATCTGGGAAATGAATACCTGCGGAAGTTAAGTGGGCTATGAAGAAAAGGGATGTTTCTGGAGATGGAATTTGACGCCTTAACAAAACCCAACGCTCTTAAACTAAGCGGGGCACTGCAGAATCGAGAAATAGGAAACATAAAGATAACATTTTGCAGATGAAAATGCAGTACAAATTTAAAAAATTGGGATAGTTTACTTTACCGGAATAATGAGAGGGAATTCATGGCCGCAGCTGCCACCACCATGGACGATGGACGGCTTAACAATTTCTGCCAGAGAAACTCAAATCAGTAGTATGATTTTTCTTTGTTTTTATTATTCTGGTTTTTTTCTTTTTCCTTTTTGGGTTTGAAATGTTTGGAATTTCGTTTCCGTCGTAAGAAGGTGATTATTTCAGGAAAAGGTCCTTTAATTTCATTTTACTCCAAACTGAACTTCTTTTTTCGAGTCTCAACTATTGAATCACCTTAATTAGTAGTTTTTGTGAAGAGCCAGTCAAATAAATTGCAGAGCTAGTCAAAAAGACAGACGTTTACATAGACCACCAAAGATCTAATTTACTGGAGTTTCTTGTACTTGTAATCATCATTTTAAAACCGTCACCCCTACTCTCAGCATTTATTTTTTCATCCAACTCTTAATAAATTCTTTGAATGGTTGTTTTGTATTTTGTATTTTGAAATTTTCACATAACACATTTTTTTAATATATTTCTGGACTCACAAATTTTCATTTGTAAAGAGATGAATATTACAAGTCTCACCATGCACTCTTCAGTACGAAAAATAATGATGTAGTGAAAAACATACATGTATAAGCAAATGAGTTATTTAATCAAGTGATAAAATTACTCTTCTTATTTTAAAAGAAAAATAAAATATAGAGAATTCCCATATTAATTTTGGTCAAAATAAGTCGAAGTCGGTTAAATTAGACAGAACTAGTAGATCCCGTTAATTTTGGACAAGAAAAGTTAAAAACATTTTTGGCCAAATTTAACGAATCAGTTACAAAGTTTACTCTTTTTTTCGGTACAACCAAAGGAGCAAAAGCCTATGAACTTAAATTAAAATATTTCGCGGATAAGAGACTCCAATCAAATTTTACTCCAATCAATGAATCACTCCAGACGGTGGATCGTTGAGCCACTGCAAGTCCCCTGGAAAAGTAGGAGCTAATGATGTCAAGAAATCTGCTGAAAAATTGGTTCACAAAACCAATATTTTATTTCAACTCTCCATTCCCTTTGTAACAACTCCTTCACAAAAAGTTTACTCTTAAATATTGAATTAAATGACATTGCTTTTAGTGTTTTTAGCACCACTCTAAACTTTTCGAAGGTTTGTCCAAGAGAGAGAACAAAGAAGACGTACATCGTGATTGACCTATCTTGTTGCACTCTTCTGCATTGTTATGCGTCTACTATAGTTTATGGTGGAGAAATGGCTTATACTATTGATAATACTTAAATTTAACTACTTTTAGCAAGCAATTCTTATTCATTTTTACTTGTAAATTAATATCAATTTAATAGAATTAGTTTACTTTTAGGTTGAGTTTGTATTTCAGGGTGATCAGAGGGCCAAAGTGGAATTTACTGAAAATATTAGACCAAAAGGTGAAAAAGAACATAAAAGGGGCTGGAAATGGCGCTGCTGGAAATCAAGGCTAGAATTGATTAATTGAAGAAAAAACGGAGGTTGAATCCTTGTTGATGAAGTAAGAATGGTTGCATCATCATCATAGAATAGTAATCTTTGCAAGTGGAAGCCAAAGGAAGAAGGAGAAAATGCAGAATGGGAAGCTACTCTGTTGCCGATTGCTGTTGACTGATTCTGTTCGATTAGAGAAAAATAGAAGCTGAAATCATATTGCTGAAAGAAGATTATTGATCCACCATCACTAGTTGTTAAATCCTTGCAAGTGGAAGAAGAGAAAGAAAAAGAATATTGTGCTCAAGCAAGAGCCAACCTGTTGCTATTTCTGATAAACAAAAGAGCAGGAATCAAGGAAGAGGCTGTTGATGTTGATGCTGAAAGTTGTTATTGTGGCGGCTGATTTCAATCAAGCAGGAAAAAATAGCAGAAGATTGGAGACTAAATTAGAATAGAAGAAAAAGAAGTAGGCTGCTGATGCTGCTGCTCACCACCTCTGCTACTGGTGGCTGAAGATTAAAGAAAGAAGAAATGGAGATTTGTAGCCGAAAATGTTGAAGAGGCACCAGAGAAGAAGATTAAAGAAAAAGACAATGATGAGAAGAATGTGGTTATGGCAGCTGAGAAAGAAAAGGGCAGCCAATCAGAAGAAGACAACTTGGCAAATTGACAAGTTGCTGAATAAACAAACTTCCAAATATTGCAAGTGGTTAGCTCTGTCTTGCTGAAAAAGGAGACCAGAAGAAGCAACAAACCAAACCACTCCAAATCCATATAAATAGGACTACCAGTGCAAATAAAAAATAACAAATTGGGAAGTTAGAATAGATCTAAAAACAGAGTAGTTGTAGATAGTTAAGATAGGATAGAAACAAAGTGTAGCAGAAGAAGGAGTGCAGACTGTCACTCGGGCAAGTGACGAAGTTCACTTACCCAAGTGAGCAGACAGAATCTGTTCTGCTACACTTCTCTTCAATTATGTCCACTACCTGTTGATCTGCAATCATGATGAATATTTTGTATATTGTTACTCTCATGTTTAGATCAATAAACATGAATAGCTAAACTCTTTCTAGAGTCTAATCCTTACTATCTATATGTGAATGTTTTGATTCAAATTTTTATATAGAGCATTGTATCTAGTTTAAGCGTTTGAATTAACCTTTTAGTTAAACTGGCCACTTAGCTAATTGTGCATGCATATTATGGAATCCTGGAAGGGTAAACATAATTTTAGGACTGCTTAAACTAGTCTAGGACAAGGGAGATAACAACCCTTGGTTTCAATCATCAATACGAGTTAGTTGATTGGCATAGGTGATCACTAGAGCTTAAAATCTCAAAGACTCGGAATAATGAATAATTATCACAGAAATGGAGGTAATTTGGTTATATTGGGACTCTCTTTACTGGTATCGAAAGTGAAAATAGAGAATATAAGTGTCTGATCAGACAATGCTCATATCTGTAGAAAGAACTACAAGAATCATAAGATGGTCATAGTGATAGGAAGGAGAATGACCATAGTTCTTCATCACTCTGCCAAGTGTCTTTCTCACTCTCTCAAGTGACAATCTGTTCTATTTTAGTTTTTCTGTTTGCACCTTAAATCATATTTTTATTGATTTACTGTTGTCTCTGTGGATCGACCCTACTTGCCGCTAGCTAATAGTTTTGAATAGTTAATTTTTCTTTTGGTGGTGTCAATGACATCTCTACCAACTATCAATTAATCTATAGGGTGAGGCTTTAAAATTTCCTTCATCGCACTCCTCTTGATTATTAAAATTCCTAATGTGGGTTTGTGTCTTTTGTTCCTTAATTTCCACAGACTTTTTCATTGTTTCTTTCGGTCTATAAATATCGGTATGTATGGAGCATTAAAGTGATGTTATTTTTTTTTAGGTAAACATTAAGTTTTATGGCTCAGATCACAAAATAAGTTCACAAATAATATACATCAATTGTACTTAAAAGGCCCAGAACTGGAAATAAGCACTACCTTCTAAATTACCAGCCTATACATTTCCTACACCAAAACACTCCTTCTAAATTAACTTTACAATTATCAAGCAGAACAGTACCAAAATACCAATCTGGTCTACTAATTTCAAGTCTTGTAAAATCGACAATCCTTTGCATTCACCTTCGTAAAACATAATCGGACACGTCATTTAATTTCTTGTTGGATCTTCTGAAACATGATCTCTATAGTGGGTGTGTTATCTTCAATATAATTTGATTCCTTGCTCTCTATAGAATATGTAGTCTAATCTTGCTCCATATCCAGATATAGATGATTATGTCCCAATGATGCAGAGAAAAAGAAGAATTTTCCAACTTCAGCCAACACTTTAAGAGTCTCCAAATTCAGTAGCCACCTTGCATCTAATAAACAAATGTTCGAGTGTCTCATCCTCTTCTAAACAAAACGGGCATTTTAGGTCCACTATCTAGAAGTGCAATCCCTGTATATGCACCTTTGTAAATAACCGCTTATTCCACCACAACCATAATACAAAACAGTGCTTAGGCAAACTCAGCCGATTCCAAACTATTTTTGCTTCTCGCTTCCTTTCAACGAATCCTTGCAACTACCGATATCCTGACTTAACAATATACCTATCATGCTTTGTGATGAAGTCAAAATCTACGGTTGTTGCAAGAATTAGAATTTAGAAAGAATAGAAAATAAAGAATATTATTATTGAGTTGCGTAGATACAACTTGTCCTTAATAGGGGAGAGACCCCTTTTATATAGGTGGATTACATAATTAAGATAGTTCCTTATTGGAGTAGGTTTACTAGTAATAGATAATTTACAATAAGGCAGTTTCTTAACTTCCAAGTAACTTAACCCTAAGAACAATAGGGCTAGGATGTAATTCTGACTCTTCAAGTGTCCTTAGCAAGCCATATTTTTTAGACTTGATGAGAGGACATGGGATGCTACTAGTGTAGATGTCTTTTCGAATTTTGTCATGATGCCCCAGTTCTCAAGCTTTTTGTTCTCGGGTGTGACCTGTAGAAGATAAAACATGTAGAGTGTCTCGAGGAGGTCTTATCTTAGTGAGTTACTGATTAGGAGGAGGAAGCCTGTATATGCCGAATTTAGAGGATAGTGCCTATATTCTCTTATTTGAAGTTAAGAAGCCTATCCTCTCTTATTTGAATGTGAGAAGCCTATATTTTCTTGTCATATAGGTCTTGAGCCTATCTTTGTATCTTGTGTTGTGTCCATCTAGTAGGTCTTATTTGGTCATTGCCTGTCCAGCGGGTCTTTGTGGGTCGTACCCGTCTAGTAGGTCTTATTTAAACCCATTGCCCATTTAACGGGTCTTTCGGTTCTTTTTTGATGCGGGGTGGTCCCCAATGCTCGATTCGGATGGTTTTTGTTTTTTTAAAAAAAAGGTACCTGTAAATTTTATTAATTAGAGATACCTGAACTATTACACTGCATCTTACTATATGCTAAATTATGTAATTCACAAACATCTTACCTACTAACTTTAATAAGTTCACAAGATTAAAAAGAAGCTGTAAAATTAATTAACAAAGAAACTATTTCTTGAGCATTTGTGGGAAGTAATTCCTCCCTAAGATCTCGGGTTAAGGTCTCACAATCCGTCTGAACTTTAACTTGAGAAATTCCCAGATTCTATGCCTTTAGAAGGGCTGAGAAACAAGT